ATCCTCTTTAAGAGGGCTCCGAGGCATCTGGAGGTGACCAGGGGTGGGCAGGATAGGGGGAGGCAGGTGGAGGTGGCTCCTGGGTTCTGTTGTGGGGACCTCGGTGAAGGATGGTGACACTGATCCCTGAGATGAGGTGGAGGTTGGTGGGAGGGCAGCGAGTTTTGGACACCTTGAGTCTGAGGTGTCCAGGTGACCTTCCAGGGATATCATCCAGGGGTGGCTGGAGATGCAGTCCTTGCTCACCAGAGGTCACTTGGTTAGTCCGGGGACAGCACTAGGGATCCCCACTGTTACTTTCCTGGGGTCACTCAGCAGCTTGGTGGAAGGATGAAGTCATCCACACATTTCACCAACACCTATGTTAGGGCACCAGTAAGCTGGGGGCTGGGGAGAGAAAGGATCACTGTTTTTGACAATTCATCACCATCTCGCCCCTAAACTCATCACACACACAGGTTTCAGATGGTCAACAATGCTATGCAGTGTTATTGTAAATTGTACCTCAGTCCAAAAAAAAAAAAAAAGGGGCGGGGGCATGGTGATCATCTCAGCCAGAGCTCTAGCTTGTTGGGGTTTAACTTCTCCAACTTTGAGCCTCTGTCCCTGTCAATAGCTCTGGGGCCCATGAGTGGGCAATCAGTGATGGGTCCACTCTCCTCACTGACAGAAAAATGATCTGGGGTCCAGAGAGAGGAGTAACCCCTCAAGTTCAAGGTCAGACCTATGGAATGCATCCTAGAACTCAGAGTGAGAAGAATAACCATGAATTCCACACCCAATTCAATCGTCAAGGGAACCCTAGCAGCAGGATGCCACCCTCCCCGTCTGCAGGTGAAACGCGGGGGCTCAGAGAAGTGAAGTCCCCTTCCCCAAGGTGGCAGAGATGGGCAGAGGCCGGCTTTGACCAAGGTCTTTGCTTTCTGCCCCTCCACCTGCCACGCTCCTGCTTCCAGAGGGAAGTCCCCAGCCTGTGTGCCCTAGTTGACACTTAGAGAGCCACCTGGTGATTTACAGCCTTCATTCAGTAGATGTGACGGATGCATGTTGACACCATGTTGGGGATAGACTCTGGGCTGAAGATACGAAGGCGAAGAGAGGTTACAATGTAATGGCAGAACTATGAAGCAGCATGTCTCTGTGCTCAGATAAGAAAAACGTGGCCCCAGGAGAGAACTGCTCCGCCAAAGCCCGCATGGTGATTTAGGGGCAAGAACTGGATGAGAATCTAACTCTGTACCCTGTTCCTTGAAAAAAGGTCACCCAACAGTCAATACATACATAAGCGCTCATCCTCTCTGGGAACCAAGGAAATGTAAACTGAGACCACAAGGAGGTGCCATTTTACACTCGTTACATTGACACAAATTTAAAAGTCTGAGGAAGCAAGTACTGGTGAGGCTGGGGAACCCAGGACACTCTATGCACTGCCATCTGCATGGCACAAGCCCTTTGCCTGACCCCACCAGGTGGGTAAAGACACAGTGGCAGGTGGCCTCCTGACGGTGCACCTGTGCAGTCACAGGGGCCTGCACCTGGCACAATGTGCTATTGCTGCTGTCCTGAAAAACCCACGAATTTATCAAGGGCCTTGCATTTTGATTTGCACTGGGCCATGGAAATTCCATGGCCGGTCCACCCCAGCAGTTTCACTCCTATGGGTGTTGGGAGACCTGCTGAGAATGTTCATAGCAGCTCTGTTTCTGCAAACAGCCAGAAACCCACGCAGCAGGGATGAATTCGAGAAACAGAATGTTGAGTCATGAAAACATGAAGTAGAATACATACAGCAAAAAAACCCCACAAAACTTAAAAATTCTTTTCATGTTTTTTATTATTTTTCTATCTTTTCACAAAAAGATGAGCAAAGCTGAGCGCTATTCACCATAGCCAAGACATGGAAGCAACCCAGTGCCCATCAATAATCAAGTGGGTAAAAAGGCTGCAGTCCATGTATACAATGGAATATTACTTGGCCATAAAAAAGAATGGAATCTCACTTTTTGTGACAGCATGGGTGGACTTAGAGGGTATTATGAAATGCAATCAGTCAGTCAGAGAAAGTCAAATGAACAAAATTGCAACAGACTCATAGATACAGAGAACAGATTGACGGTTGCCATAAGGGAGGGGGGTTGGGAGACTGGGTGAAAGAGGTGAAAGGATTAAGAAGTACAGATTGGTAGTTAGGGAATAACCACGGGGATTAGGTAAAGCACAGACAAAATGGTCAATAACATTGCGATAACTATGTATGGCGTCAGTTGGGGGGCTAGAAATACCAAGCAGAATACTATGCAAAGTACATGGTTGTCTAACCATCAAGCTATACACCTGAAATCAACACAAAATGAACAAAAACAAGACATGCAAAATAAAATAATGGTGTATAGGGAGACATACATATGTAGTAAAATTTGTTTTAAAAATCCTTTTTAAAGATGACACAGAGGGTGGGCTCTCAAGGCGCACACCGCTGGCGAGACGATGCTTTGAGGCTGGTTGGCAGGTCTGTAATTATTACGCTTCGTATCTAACCTATGACATCTATTTTCAATGTGCTCATGTCAAATGCTTCCTATTTTCAAAATGGAAGCAGCAGCCCAGGTGCGCTGCGCTGCGGGGGTCAGGTATGGAGGGATGGATGGCACGCACCTGCGCCCATCACACTGGCTGCGCCTGGAGGGGAAGAGAGGCCGCCGCGAAAGGGGAATGTTCCGCTGCGGCCTGGCCCTCCTGGAAGTGAGCGGAGGCTGCTGAGAACCAGCTTCATGAAGTGAGGCTTCATTTCCAAACGTGATGATGCTAAGAGACATTCCATGTGCCCAACTGCAGCCTGTTTTCGCCAATGTCTCTTATTTTCAATGTTTCGTCTTCAGTGGCTTTACATTGCTTTAGTCTCTCTGGGCAAAAAGGTGCCTTTCATTTCAGAAAGTTTTATTTTTTTACCTCTATTTCTAAACACCTTGGTTATTTTATTCCATACCCAAAATCAAGTCTTGTTTTTCTTCACTCTTGGCTGAGTTTTGTCATGTTGCCGTATGGCTTTTATAATTTAAGAAAGGAGGTGGAGGGGGCAGGGAGGAGGGGAAGGGGGAGGAGGAGCAAGAGAAGGAGGAAGTGGTCTCCCCTATCATAGCCAGAATGTCTAAGACAGTGGTCTGAGGAGGGGCCTGCCTGCGGGGGCAGTGAAGCCCCAGTGGGCCTGTGCCGCGCCCAGCACCTGGTGCAACCCTCAAAGCTACTCGGAGGAGGCCATGCCCACTGCTTGGGCTTTGGTGCCTGGTGTCTGCGACCCCCCCAGCCCAATCCCAGGAAGCAGACCCAAGATGAAGCATGGCTTTAGGAGCGGGCTTGGCTGAGCCCTCTCCTTGACTGGTTCAGAAGCTGCCTCTGCCCCAGGCCAGCCTGAGGAGGACAGGAGGGCAGCGCAGGACCAGAAGGGGGAGGGGGGAGCCTCAGGACCCTCTGAAGGCAACTCTGGGGGTGGGCTAGTCATCAGCTTTCCCAGCCGGGCTTTTTGCCTCTGCCCACCTCGCAGCCCCCTCCCTGCAGCCCCGGCCTCAGGGTACCTGGCTAACTGCTTGAGACCCAGTCCCCATGGCCCCAGCTCCCACCCCTCCCCCAGGCAGACCCTGTGCCAGACTTGAGGTCTGGGTGTTGATTGTCTCCTTGCTGACAGAGCGCCTGGCTGATGTCCCTGACCCCCACCCCCACCTGCCATCATGATAGCCTGGTCTGGCAGGGGCCACTTAGCCCCCGCCTGCCCAGCGCCCCTGTCCTTCAGGATTCCCCCTGCCCCCGCCAATGGCCCCAGAGAGAACGCTCTCCTGGGCGCCAAGTTCTGCGGCGGTGGGAGGAAGTGCGGAACCACCATCTGGCTGTGGTGATAAGATTCAGACACATGAAGCAACTCATTAGGGAACAATCAAGACAGCACATACTCAAGACCAAGGATATTGCTGGGCAGATTCTGTGGGCGCTTTGAAGGAGGAAGAGGGGGCAAGGGAGGGGAAGGGCAGATGGGTGAGTAGCTGGGGCTGGGGGTGTGGGGCCTGATGGGAAGCCCTAGCCCTCCCTCAGTGAAAGGATGAAGAGACCAAGCTGCCTCCCTTGCGGTGTGGCCTGGAGGGCGGGAGACCACTGCCCCAGGCGACCTGGAGCAGGAGGGCACACTGGAAGCTTGCAGGGGTGACTCGGGAAGGACTAGGGAAAATGAGGCCAACCAGGCCTGAAAGCCGGCAAGAGGGTCCCACAGGCAACAGGAGTGGGCAAAGGCTGGGGCAGGGGCTGGCAGGGAGGGAACAACGCAGTAAGCCCTGGCGGCGGGCTGGCCCCAGCTAACCTGAAAGCACAAGCTACCCTAGCCTATATTTGGGGGAGTTAAGGCAGCATTTTGGGGCCCTGACTCAGCAGCTTCTTCAAGGAGAAGACATTTTCTTTAATTCTCATCCGAGGCTATGATTTTGAAGAAAAATTGATTTTAAAGAGGGAGGAAGGAAAAGAGAAACCACAATCGGTTGCTTCCTGCATGTGCCTCAACCAGGATCAAACCCACAACCTACCAACGGAGCCAGGGCGTGGAGGAGGCATTCTCGACGTTGTCCACGTTCTCTTGAGGTCTGAATTCAGCCAGGAGCACAAGGAAAAACCTCCCATGGGGCTGCCGACCTGATCTCTCCCGGCTGAGCATTGTACAGGCAGGTCTTCATCCACAGTGGCCCAGGGACACCGAGGGCTCCTGCACATGCTCAGTGAACATGACTTCTCGCTGCTGGCACGGGTGGGCTGGAAGCCCAGGGTTGTGAGCCAGGCTGGGCAGGCTGGCTGCAGGGGCTGTGGGCCAGTAAGGCTCCCTCCAGAATCCATCTGTTCCCCCTGCAATGATTTGGAGATCTCCCTGTACCCCAGGAGCTTCCAAACACCCTGGACACCTGGGGGAACTAGGAATTCAAAGGTGAGAGCAGGCAGGGGGACTCAGGACTCGAGACAGGTTTTAGAACTTGTGGTTTATTGACACAGCAGCCCTGGAAGGAGACATCCTTTTCTGAGACATGTCAGGGTAAACAACCATCCTGTCTTAGAAAAGACACCCCGTCCCCCACAGAACCTCACAAAACGTGCACAGATAAACCTTTGGCAAGGGTGGCACAGCGTGTGAATGGCAAAGCTCGGCAAATTTGGCAAAGCTGTGGAGCCTTAGAGAAGCAAAGGCCCCAGGGGCGGCCGCTTTGGGTTACGGGCAGAATCAAACTGAACAGCTCACTCTGCACAAGCCCACCCGGCTTCGGTATAGCTGGTGTGGAGGCTGGGCCTGGGAGTCATCAGAGCCGAGCCCGCAGCCCCAGGAATACTGCTGAGGTAGCTGGGGAAGGGGTGAGGCCAGGACTACAAGTGGACTTGGGGAGGACCGGGGGTGGGGGGGGGACAGGACTGTGGCCAAAAGCTAATCCAGGACCTCAGCAAGCCCGTGCTTCTCCCTGGGGCCCCGCATCCTATTGCTACCTCCCTAAAATGCACCCACTTCTTAGCCCTGGGTGCTGAGGACAAGCTGGGCTGGAGAAGCCACGTGTTCACCTCAGGATTTCTGCAGGTTGGTAGCTTGACCAGCTGCCCTGGGGAGCCCAGCTGTGCCTGCCCTTCTCCCAGGCCCTCCCATCTCAGCTGACTGTCTCTCCCACCCCTGCTGGCTTGGGATCAGCTCTACCTGTAAAAGCGGGGCTAGAATTCTCCAGCTTTTGTATTCCACATAAAGCGCTGGCTGGCATCAGTAGCTCATTCTTTTCCAACCCACTTAGTTTTAAGAATAGACTCTAGTAATACTTAATCACCCCCTCCCTGCTGGCGGTGGGGGAAGGGCCCTCAGCACTGGCAGCTTCTCCAGGATGTGCTGGGCTCGCCCCAAGGGCCCCCCTGCACCTCCAGTATTCCAGGAGCTGCTGCACAGACTCAGTGCAACACTGTGCCCTAAAAAGGGGAAAGTGAGGCCCAGGGAGGCACGACGACTTAGTGAGGTCACATAAACTGGGGCTTGAGAAGGGGGATCAAGGTTTCCAGACCAGTGTCTTGGCTAGGGGCCCTCCTGGGACTGTGGCCTGAAGAGGAAGTGGACCAGGGTGCTCGGAGGTTGAAGGTCTCCCAGTGGCTCCCCCTGCAGCCCAGCCACGGTGGAAAAGACCTGCTCTGTGCCTAGGCGCACAGCAGACAGCAAAGACCTCTGCTGGGGTGAGGGGTGGGGGCTTTGACCCCAGCAGCCTGGTGCAGGGTTGCAGAGGCAGCAGGACAAGCCTGGAGAAATGTCCTGGTGAGGCCTCAGGCCAGGACACAAATCAGACATCAAGTGGTGTAATCCAGACCCCACGCAGTGACGCTTCTCTCTTGGCAGCAATCAATGGAATAAAATTAGCAAAGAAGAGAAAAACAAGCCATTGCTCCCTCCTTCCACTACGGTCATGCCCTCAGGATGCCAGGCTGGTAGTGAAGGGTGGGGCCACACCCAGCCTGCAGCCCGCCTTGTGCTGGGAGGGGCCAACAAAGGGGCTTCTGGCCCCCAGGAGGCAGCGGGGCCTTCAAGTTAAATGGGGTAACACATGGTCATGTCAGCTGCCAAACATTCTCTGAATTGCAGTGATCATGTTTAGGATGCTTTTTATCACGAGGCCCTAAGCAAGGCATTGACCAGAGGGCCTCGGTGTCTTCATCCTGCTGTAGGGGAGGGGTAAAGTCAGCCTACAGCCGGCGCCCCCCATGGCTCCTTCCCTTCCTCCCCTCAGTGCTGCTGGGAGCAGGGGGCTCCCTGTGCAGACCTTTCTGGGGCCCTGCCTGTGCTGCGCCCCCGCCACCCTCGCCAACATTCTGCTGAGGTCTTCTCTGGCTCTGAGAGGTCACTTAGCCACCCACCATCCTTCCCAGACTGCCGGCCTGGACCTGCAGTGGCCCGGCCTACGTGGCAAGCCTGGGTCCTACCTGGGGCCCTCACCTGCCTCTGCCACTTCTTATTCCACACAGCAGCTGTATCACCCTACTTGATGGGAGCTTCACCTTCCCAGGGCAGTAGGGGACACGAATGAGCTCTCACACAGGCGGGCAAGGGTTGGTGCAGACAGAGCAAGGCAGTGGAGGCTGCCAGCTATTGGCAGAGCGCGGGGCAGGGGCTCGGCGAGTGGGACAGACTCCAGGCTGCGCTCCCGCGGCCTCCAAGCAGACCCACAGGCTCCATCAGACTTGCCAGAGCCTCTCAGATGTGTCTCTGAATGAAACCAATCCAACTATCAACATACAAGACATTCTGGAACATTCCAAACAGCAGCAAGGACCTGCCTGCTCATGGAGCTCAAACTCTCAGCCTGGAGTCCAGCCAGGTACCAAGTGGCAGGGCCAAGGAAGGATGGATGACAGGGACCACGGTCACGCTGAACTCCCGGAACTTGCGGTCTGGCCTGGGCCACGCTGCACAGCCCACATTCTTAGGGACCAACCGCTTCGCTGCCAGTGGCACATCACAGAGTCAGAAAGAATTCCAGGAAGAATTCTAGCCTAAACCATCCACTGCAACAAAATCACTCCTGCTTTTGGGGAAACTTAAACATGCCTATCAGAACCCACCCCAGGCCTGGCAGATCTAGCCTTTCCTACAACTGTTTAAGGCACTTGAATGGCTTATTAACACTACCTGGAAATGTTTTTGTTTCGATCTTGATTTAAGGAAAAAAAAAATCAGTAATACTGCAAAAGAAGTTTCCTCTAAAAAATATCAATGTTAAGTTTTCTAAGGAATAAAATAAATGCTAAGCTCTGCTTAAGTTATTAGACACAACAGGTCACCTTGGCACTGACAGAGCAAAGACAAACCTGAAATACTGCTTCCAATTGGACTTCTCCTGGGGAGGGGGGAGAAAAACACAACAGACAAGTGCAGCATCTCTGACCTCCCCCTCCCTGGGTGTGTGGGGGATGAGCAGGGCTAACGAGGCCAGGGCCACACGTCACGGCTACCATGATGCAGGCCAGGGACAGCTGCAGACCCAATCCCAGATCCTCCCGTTTGGGAGGTGAGCTCTGCCAGCCAGGCCCCCCGGGCGTGTCTGCGGACACACACCCTCCCAGCTGTGGCCTACGAGGAATGATGAGAAACCTGCGCTGGGCGCCTGGGACGTGCTTGTAAATGCCTGTGGCTCCTGGGTCTGCCGAAGGGCCCACACACAGCGTCCCGCTGCCCCACGCACAGGCCCAGTGTCTTTGGTCTGACTGTAGTCAGTGACTGTGGCCTCTGGTTCCACCTCTGCCCCTTGGGGAGCAAGAGCCAGTACAGTTCCCAGGTCATCTTCGTTTTGGTGAGGCTTCCTTTGTTCTACTGCCTGTCATGAGCGAGGTGTGACACCCACCGTCCCGTGCAGTTCCACAGTGGTCAGGACGGGCCGACGCAAGCAGCACAAGGGCTCAGGAATCCCAGGGGAAAGCACTGCTAGGGTGGTGCCCGCCTGCCCACCGCTACCTGTTGGGTCCTAAGACATCTGAGGGGTAGGGTCACAGGGTGGGGACCACTGGGGGCCTGGGCCTCCTAGCTTCTCCATGGAGTGTTCTTCTCTGGCTCTGAGAGGTCAGAGGGCAAGTCCTGGCTTCTCCTTTCTCGTTGGGAGTCCCCGGCCCCCTGGGCCCCACCCTCCAGCAGGTCTTGGGGGTCTCTGAGGAAGACTACCATGACTGTGATGTTGTCATGGGAGCCCCGCTCCCGGGCAGCAGCCACCAGCTCTTCAGCGACATGCAGCCCACAGCCCTGCTGCCTGACCAGGTGGCTCTGCACAAGGCCAGCGACCTCCTGGTGAGGGACTACATCAAAGAAGCCATCACAAGCCAGCAGCAGGTAGTCCTCTGTGCCGGTCAGCTCCCGGGAGGCCGCGTCTGCCTCTCCGGACACGTAGGGCTTCTGGAAGACATCCCCTGTACATGGGAGAGAAGCACCCGGTGTCAGAGAATCGGTCTGCTGGCGGCTCTGTCCATTTTGCCAGCCTGGCCTCACTGAGGCCACCCCTCCTTCAATACCCATGCTCATGGGCAAGGACATAGGGTGAAAAGTGAACGTCACGTGGAGGGGATGGGGGATTTATCCTGGTGTCCCTGAGGGAGGAGTCAAAACCCAGGAGGGTCGGAGTTCAGCTCCACAAAACCACTTTCTCACTCCCCGTGGAGCAGGGCCCAGAGCGAGCGGCCCAGGACGCGGCATGGGCGATGGCCCCGGCCCTCCTGAGCTCCCGACAGCGCCCCTCAGACACCTGCCAGGCTCCCAACCAAACACGTTTCCTCCCTCACACCTGCCCTTGCAGGCCCTCAGCTTGGAAAACGGCACCACAATCCCCAGGTCCTTACACCCAAATCTGGGGGGGTTTCCTGAGATTCTCTCCCACACCCCACATCCAATCTGTTAGGGAGCCCTACCAGCTTTACCTTCAAAATGCAGCTCAAACTCCCCTCCCCCCCTGGTTTCTATAGTTCACATCACCTGAGCCCCTCAGGACTTCCCTCCCCCCAACCCCCTCCTTCTGCTCTTGCCCTGACAGTCACTTCCCCAAGGAGCAAGAACCAGACCCCTGACGTCCCTTACACGGATCTGCCCAGAACTGCCCCTCCTTGGAAGGGAGCCCGGCCCCCAGTTTCCGTGCGGAGAGGCCCGCCTCCACCTCTGTGCCTTGGGGTGCGCGGGGACGCAAGGGCAGAAGCCACAGGGAGAAGGGCTATGAAGAAGGCAACAGGTTTGGCAAGAAGGACAGATGTTTCAGGATGCTGGAGGGACAGACGCCCCATCGCTGGGGTTAACAGGAAGGGGGTGATTCCTAAGTATCTGAAGAAGAGATGTGGCTGTTGAGCCCCAGACTCAGGCCCGGCAGCGAAAGGATGCTGAGAAAATAGGAGGTGGCAGGTGAGGGACGACTATTACTTCAGAATGTGAAAGACAGAAAAAAAAATCATCAGCATGAATGGGGGGGAATAAACCTCATTTACGGAATATTTAAAACTTATTCCCAGCTAAGCAAAGGTCTCCTTCTAGATTTTTTGAGCAAGTGTTTCGACAAGGAGATAACGACACATAACTTGAACCAAAATTATCTGTGCAAGATGGAAGTTTCTAAGGTGTCTGTGCTTGGACTCTCCAAATGCCCTTCACAATCTGGTTGTTAACACAATCCTGCTGACGACAGGCACCTTTTCAGCACGTGGCACTGCTGTCCACAACAGCTGGGCCAGAGGCCAGAGGCCTGAGCCCTGGGTGACCGTCTCTCCCTCCCCTCGCCTCCTTACCAATGGCTCTGGAGACGGCCAGGGTCCCGTTGACTCTCCAGCAGTCCATGTGAGACACGAAGCCACCCAGTGCTTCGATGCGCTCCTTCTCGTCCTGCGGGAGACAGCCAGAGTGGGGGCCTAGGCGCCCGACGGGGCAGGGTATCCAGCACTGCCACCCGGGAGGAGATGAGCTGGTTTCTAAGACAGCGCTGGGAGCCACAGCTCTTGAAAGATGCCCAAATGAGGCTTTAGTAACACAGAGAGAAATTATAAATAACCTAGTCGTCCTTTAGTTGCAGGAACGGTTAAATGGGTTTTAGTGCAAACACAGGCAGGCCACTCACATCCACTGACCACCAACCCGTCCCTGAGAAGTGTTTCAGGGTCAGGGACGTGCTCGTGAGGCAACAGAAAGAGCACGAGCCCTGGGGTCAGATGGCAGATCCCTCAGCTGCCTCCCTTTTTGTGTAGGACCCTGTCCCTTCTCTGTAAGCTGCTGGGAGGAGACCAAGCACATGCTACATGCGGCCACTTGGCAGGGCTGGGTGAAACCTGAACCAGGCCCTAGACAAGCCCCGTGGCCTTGGGTCCTCATCCTTCTCCTGCACCCGCAGACCCTGCCTGGCTCCCAAAGGGCTGCAGTGCTCCGGGCCTGAGAGGGCGAGACAGAGGCCCAGTCCAGCCATGGGCCCCAAAACCACTTTGGTTCTATAAACTCCCCCAAACAACAGGTTTCCACACGTGAGCCTGCTGTCTGAAGGGAGGTAACAACACTGTCTGCTGCTCGATGAGGCTCGGAAGGGGTGGAGCCAGGTCCAGGCATGGCCATCTGTCCTTGCTCTTTGCCATGGTGTCACACTGCCGAGCTCAGGCAGTGTTTGGAAAATGCTGCCTAGGAAAAAAGTCCCCAGTGGGCCTCAGAGGAGGTGCTGGACAGAGCTTCCATGGGTGAGGTCGGTGCGTGCAGAACCGGCACCCTGAGCAGAGGTTTGTGTCTCGCACTGACTGGGGCCACAGTTCACCTGACTGGTTGTCTTGGGATAGGAAGGCCCACCGGAAAGCAGGCACTGGAGGCCCAGAAAGGACAGAGAACATCTGCCACTTCCTGGCTGTGCTTTGGGCAACTTACTTAACCTCTCTGGGCCTCAGTTTTCTCCTCTACACAACGGGGAGAGTGTATGTAGGAGGCTGAGCACAAGCTGGGAGGCTACGGAACACTGTCATTCCTGGCTGTTACGATACTCCCTGCAGTGCCTTCTAGAAGCCACAAAAAAAGACAGTTCCACACAATTACATAAAACGAACACTTCCACGTGGAAAAGCCCATAAAGAAAAGAATTTGCAAATCACTGCACAGGCAGGGAGCCAACTTCCCTAATGCATATAAGACGTCTACAGATCGGTAAGAAAAAGAGCAAAAAGAGCAACAGTTCAGGACAAAAATGGGCAAAGGACAGGACAGAGTGTTCTCAGGAAAGGTGACGTACATGATCTTCAGCGTTTGCAAAGATGCTCAAGCTGGTTCCTTAACAGAAATGCAAACCAAACAAAGGCCTTCTCATCTCTCAGACAGAGGGACCCCACACAGCCTGAGGCGGGTAATGGGGCAAATCTGTACCCTGAAGATATATCTGACCCTGAACAAGGAAATGCTGTAGTGTTATTTACTGCTACTTTGTTTCTAGTATCCAAAGACTGGAAAAAAAAAAAAAAAAATTTCAATGTCCCTGGAGGAGAGATGGAAATGAACGGAACTGCACCAGCCCCAGGATAGGGCGGGAGCAGTTCATGTGCGGCCGTGGACCCCCAACCAGGCGCACGGGGCGGTGAAAACACCCGCGCAGAGCAGGCCTGCAGGCACCCCCGGACACGAGAACTCTCCCTCTCCCACCTCAGAAGACAGCACACCTCTGTGAGATACGGTCTGAGAGGGAATGTCATCCTTGTTTCCAGGTGAGAATCCCGAGGCACAGGTGGGTGACTGACCTCAGGTCTCAGCATGGCCCAAGCCCCTGAGCGAAGCCGTAAGCCGCGCTCCTTCCAGCCCAAGCATCGCCTCCTCCCCGGAGCCCTCCCTCCGGTAGCCCAGATGGCCGCTCCTTGTCGGCATGCACGACAGGGCCCTGCACTCTGACCCCATCTCCTGGGCTGTCTGCTGGGTCGACAGCCCCGCACCCCCCTGCAGCTCTGGGCAGCATGTCACTGTGACAGGAGGGGCTCGCTTGGGACCACTGGCTGTCAGTGTCGCAAGCTTTAGGGGACCTCTCCCTGTGGAGGAGCACCAAGGGTTTCCTGGGAAGATGGTCCCTTTTACCTCCTAAGCTGCCTCAGCAACCCTTGGCCAAGGCTCCCTGACCACCTGCGTCCCTCACGGGCCCAGCCCAATGGGGCCAGGGGGGTCCCAGGTGTGGGTGCAGGGAGCCCCTTACCTGTCGCTCGGGTCTGTGTGGCTCCATCAGCTTCACCACCTGTCCCTGCTGTACCAGGATAACCTGGGAGTCCCCGAGCCAGGCGACGTGCAGGGTCTTTCCCGTGATGAGTGCGCACACACCTGTGGTTCCGCTCTGCAGTCGCTGTGAAGAGAGAAGGCCGAGCGGGGTGAGGGGGCCATGCACCCACCCGACAGGCACCGCGGTCCAGGCCGAAGGACTGCTGAAGAGCGCGCAGTCAGAGAGGGGAAGGGGCTGCCGGGGCAGGACAGGCACAGGGAAGGCCGCGGCATTACGCCGCCTGTGTGACCTCATTCACACCAAACTCTGGAAACAGAGCATCGTCTGTTGTGTCAGAGAGCAGAGGAGTGGAGAGCAGGAGGGCGGGAAGACAGGGCAGGAAGAAACTTCTGGGTTGAACATGTCTGTCCCTGTGAGGATTTCACAGGTGTAGACACAGGTCAAAAATTATCACATTGTATACTTTAAATATGTGCAATTATGTGTCAATTATATCTCAATAAAGATGTTTAAAACTAATAAGCTAAATCAAACATCTGCTTCAGAGAATCCTTTCTCAACTATGAGGCAGCCCTGAGCTCGGCGCCTTCTCTGACCTCCCAGGGGTGACAGTGGCCAGGAGGGCTGAGGCATGTCAGGGTTTCACCGGCTCCCGGCTCCCCATTTTAGATGCCTTACAGTTTCCTGTTAAGTCTGGCTTTGCTGAGTTCTGTCCTATGCTCATAGCACCTGAGGATGGGGCAGCCCCCGCCCCAAGCCCGCACCCCATGGCTCACCAGCCATGTCAACTGGGCCTCAGTTTCCCAATGTCTAAAATGGACCTGATCTTAGTATCTACCCCACAGGGCTGCGAGGGAACCCACTGAGAACACAGGTATGGTTCAGTGGTGGCGGTAGGGGGTGGATGCGTTCATTCTTCTTCCACTAACAGACGCCTCGTCCCTGTGTGGCTCCAACTCCCAAGGGAAGAACACTCCCAGCGGACACAGGCTCCTGCTGAGACCCTGCCCGGGAGAGCAAGGGGAATGGGCTGTGTACTAATTGTGCATTTTGTTTTCTGTATTGTACGATGCTCGGATAAACCAGGGGCCTTGCTAGTCCTGGAGAGAATCCCCACCCCCACCCCCTGGGCCAGCTAACTCCTAAAGATAGCAAACGTCTTCCCCAAGAGCGCCTTTCAAACACAAACCAGCAGGTCGGGAGCCCATGTCTTCAATCCTCTCCTTTGGCTCTCATGCCGGATCAATGTTCCCCTGGCCCGGCTGGCTGGGGACTGCCCCTGTAGCCCAGAACCTGTGGAGCTGATTCCAACTAGCCAATCCTAAGCTTGCTGTGACCTGCTGGCCCCGCCCGCCCATGCCTGCCTGCAGAGACCACAGTGAAGGCTATGACCATGCTTTCCTCTCTTCCTCTGCCTCCTGACCCATGATGGGGCGCTTCCCAGGTACCGCTGTGGCATGGTATCTCCTTTTGGAAACTATAAGTAATAAACTGCTCTTTCCGGGCATTTGTCTCCGTGTCTGTCATCGTACCATGCTCGGTTAAAACAAAATCCCGGGCACATCTTAGCACAGCCAGCCCGTCCTGCCCCATGAGGCCGCCGCACCCTCTGCAGTGGCGCAGGTCCACGCTGCAGCAGGGCCACGCTTTATGATGCTTCTATGCAAATGAAAAACAACCCCCCTTGGCTGTAAGAATGAAATGACATGACTGCCAGCAGCATTTAGTGAGGACCTTCCAGCACCACCAACCACTTCTATTTCTGTCCCTCTGCAGGGGCTGGGCCTCTCTGATGCTCGTGGCAACTAGCCCCCAAACTTCCCAGGAGGCCGGTCCACTTGTTCTCACCTCTCGCTTGGCTTTCCAGAGGAACATCTCATCGGTGCGCCGGAAAGCTTCTCTGAGGGCTCCCTCAGGGTCCGTGGGCAGCTCCGCCTGGCGAGCTGCGTTGGTGTGTACGTGCACAGCAGCGTACCTCGCGGCATCCACTCCTCCGTGACCGTCAAACACTGCAAAGTAGGCACGGTCCACGGGGTCCTGGTGGCGAATACACTGGGAGTCACTGCCTGCGGGCCTCATGCCTGACCGAGGCTGTGACCCAGCCAGAGGCGCTCATCAGGTGCTCACTGGAAGGGCCAGGAGGGCTCTGGAAGAATCAGCATGGCCTCCGCCCTCAGACAACCCTCCAGCGTGTCAGGTCTACCTTCTGTACCAAGCTGCTGGGCACATAAGATGTTTTAGGCAGCTCCCAGTGCCTCAGGCAGAGCAGGGTTCAGCAACCATGAGTCCAGGTGACCAGAGTGCCCAGGGCTTCCCCTTACCATGGACTTGGGAAAACCATTTCCTGCCTCAGTCCGTCAGCTGGGAAAACAAGGTGGCTACGGCTGCCCCGGCCCAGAAGCACCAGGACGATGAACTGGGCCTCCCAGACTGCCTGGGTGTGCTTTGAGAGATGTCCAGCACCTTGGCCTTTGGACGGAAGCTGCAGGCATCACTCCTGCCTCGGCTCTGGCTAGAAGCTCTGCTTGGCACCCAGAGGGGTTCCCACCCCTTGTGCAAGCCCTCCTCAGCTGTCCTGACTGGGGACACTGCTCTCATGAGCCGCCTCAGGGCCTGGGAGCGGAGCACTCACGGACAGGCCGAAGAGCTGGTTGAAGGCAGGAAGGCACACGTGCCGGTCCTCCATCTTGCGGCGAGTGTTCCGGATGGCATGAATGGAGACCAGCCACTGCCGCTGCGGAGCCCGGGTGGTCAAGGGCACCTGCTTCTGCCACTGGCTGCATACTTCCCACAGCCGGTTAAAGAAGCCCCGCGCCAGGCCCTCGGCGTCCAGCACTAATGGGCAAGGAGGAGGGCTGTGAGCCGAGCATGCGCGCAGGCCAGCCGACGTTCCACTCGCTCTCGCTGTGCCCCTGCTTGTGGCCACTGCAGCTCTTTAGACAGTCCCTTCACAGGCCTGCACAGGCCCTTCCAGCCCGCCACCCCCTGGGCACACCAGCCAACAGACTACATGTGACAGGTTGTGTCATCAGCAGTGAGAAGTGTCTGGGCTGGCAACAGGCACCGAGAGCCTGCTGCCCCACGGCGGAACACCTCCACTCACGGGAGCCCACGCCGAGGAAATAGCGGAAATACACCAGCGGTTTGAGGGCAAAGTACAGAACCGCTTGTGATTTTGCATTAATTAGAAACAATATATATCCACAACAGTGTAAATTACGGTCTATCCTTTTGACAAAGAATTAAGTGCTGCTATTAAAATTGATTTTCACTACTAAACATGTAACTGCCACTGGCTAAGCAACTGCGCCCCTCGGCATTTATCCCAGAGAAAGGAAGGCTTTGTTCACACAGAAACTTGTGCCTGACTGCTCACAGCAGTTTTCTATGTAATGGGTGAAAACTGGAACCGGCCCAGACATTCTTTGATGTGTGAATGGTTAAACTAACTTGGGTGCTTCACGCAACGGAACACCACTGAGCAGGGGAAGGCAGCGCTACTGACACACACAAACCTCAGTCAATCTCCAAGGAATTATGCTGAATGAAAAAAGCCAGTCCCCAGAAGTTACATCCTGTGGGATTCCATTTATATGCATTCTTGAAATAAAATTATATAGAAATGGAGAAGATTGGTGGTTATCAGGGGTTGGGTAGGGGCGGGGGGTGTTAGGTGGCCAGACAGGGGAACACGAGGGAAACTTGCAGGATGAAACTATTCTGTATCTTGATGACGTCAGGATCCTGGTTGTGATATTTTGCTGTAGTTTTATACGACATCACCACTGGGGGGAACTGGGTAAAGGATGCCTGGCATTCCGATGTGTTATTTCTTGTACCTGCATGTGAGGCTATAGTTCTCGCAAATAAAGTTTAATTAAAAACAAAAATGCACTTTCAGAGTGTTTTTATGTAAAATGCTTATGCCATGACATTAAGGAAAAGCACTGATATTAAAAAATGTTGTTAAAAAATGGATGGAAAATTCCACACAGTTTAATCATGAGTACATGAAAAAGTTCTCAACCACCTAGACCCAGGAAGTAAAAGTAAAAGGCAGGGAGGGCACACAACCACAGCAGCAGCAATGGCTCTCTGCAGGTGGTGGTCTATGGGTGATGTTTTTTCTTAAGTACACTTTTCCAGTGCTTTCCCAATATGCTATTACAAGCGGTAGCCCCAGGTGATGGTTTTAAAATACGGCCATAAATTCTTTGATACTTCTCCCTTCAAGAGTGGGAGTTCAGTTTGCTCCCCTTCAGTGCATAACTTTTTGACCTTAGTGACCTGCTTCTAATGAATATAATAAAACCTAAGTGACTGTGAGTGACTTCAGATACCAGGTCCTAAGAGACACCATGGCTTCTGCCTTACGTGCCCTGTCTGTCTTTGTCTCTCCCCCTTTCAGGCTCCCTTGTGAATCACTGGCTCTGAGGGAAGCCGCCTGCCATGCCATGAGGATGTTCAAGCAGCCCTGTGGAGAGCCCACAGGGCATGGAACTGAGGCCTCCTGGCAACAGCTGTGTGACTGAACAATCATGGAAGTGGAGACCCTGCTCCCACTGGCCTTCGTCTGACCTCCTGAGACCCTAGGCAAGAACCACCTGCTCAGCTGCTCCCAAATTCCAGACCCACAGAAACTGTGGGACAATACTGTTTTAAGCCACTAAATTTTGGGCCAACATTATGTGGCAATGAGTAATACTGTGTACAACACACAGATTTTAAAAGGAAAACTTAAATCCTACCTAAACCTGGCTCTAAAGAAAACATTAACAAGGAACAGATCCAGAGGAAACCTCAGGTGCCACACCTCAAAGACTCAGTTCAGTCTGATGCACAACCCCCCGCCCCAGGACCCCTGCTGACCTGGGTGCTGGTGGCTGGGACAGGGAAGTCAGTGCTGGTTACCTAAGAGGAGGGGCCCCAGGGCAAGTAACTAGTTACTGGGTAGACTCAGGAGTGTCACAGGCCACACCTGAAAAATCTGGGGAATTGCAGAAGAAACAGTTTGTGCCCAAAGGAAGTGGCTGCAGAAAAAATGGAGGCGGGCTGAGGCCAGGGGAGGCATGGAGGGCCTTGGAGTACAGGGAGCTCCAGGGAGGCACTTCTGAGGAAATCCACACAACGGGGGTGTCTAGAATTGGCTGCTGCCACCACGCTCCAGACTTGGCGGCCATTCAGGCATTTGTTGAGAACAGGGTTTTATCAGGTCTGAAATACTCAGGGAGGCACAGAGCACCGTTTCCTCTCTTAGGTCATGCTACCGTGTTTCATCAATGTGTTTAAACTTGAATCTTGGCTCCAGCAAAGGGCAATTACCAATGAGAATGATTAACTACGGGGAGGACTGCCCAGCCCACACACCCGATGCTGCTCACAGAACACACCTGCTCTGCTGGCACCCACAGGAACTGCACACTGGGGAGGGGCTGTTCATGGTTCCACCTGACCCTGCGGCATAGGTCTTAATCATATCTCTGCCCTTGAATGGTAATTCTCATAACACCCACTGACAGCCTTTACTAAGTCCCACTTCCATGATACAGACAGCTGATCAGGCCTGCAGGGAGAGCAGGGGCAGGAGCCCCCATGTGCAGGGATCTGCCGCTGTCAGCCGCCGCACTGCTCCTTCCTGCCAGCAGGTGGCGTCAATATTCTGCCCGGATGCAGGCCGGGCGGGGCCGGGCGGGGCTGGCCGGCGCTGGCGCCCCCCCTGTGGAGGCAATGGCTGCCTGCCACTGAGCTGCCATGTCCGCAGGTGGGGACAGGAGGCTGTGCTATAAGGGAGCGAGGACAGAGAGCCCAAGAAAAGGGCAGGAGACCTGGACAGAAGGGCCTTACTGCAGGGGCAGGCTGCTTGTTTTCCTTCTCTCTTTTGCCAACCTGTTCACCGCTTTGCCTTCAATGCTCCCACTAATGCTGAGATAGTCGGGTAATACAGGAATACCTTGTTTTATTATACTGCACTATACCGTGCTTGACAGATGTTGCATTTTTTGTAAACTGAAGGCAAGACACCCACCCCCGCCCACCACCCCCACCAGCAAAAAGATTATGACACTTTACTGCAGTGGCCTGGAATCAAATCCCCAATTATTTCAGAGGCATGCCTGTAATTAAGTGACATAGGGGAGGTGTTAGCAAAACCAATATGTAAGTGAACCAAAACAACACACTGTATACCTTAAACTTACACAATGTAGTATGTCAATTCTATCTTAATGAAAAAATAATAAAGTAACACGGTCAGATAGAAAATGGCAAAGGAAGGGGAATCTGCTGAGGCTCCCACTACCCCGATGACCAGGCTGGGCTCCGGGACCCATTCTGTCTCCTGCGCCCCAACTGGCCTTCAGCCCTGCCTGCGTGTGGCCTGAGCTGCACTTTTCCCCAGCAAGCATGGAGCGACCGAAAGCTGGTGCCCAGCCTGGCCCACCACACACTCTGCCATAGGCCACTGCTGAGCAGCCCTTGCTTGTTGGATGGTCCAACATGAGCCGACATTTTGGTGAAATATGATAGAAAGGAATTACTAAGAAAGTGAAAGAAGACATGCAAAATAAGGGCCCTGCCTTTTTAGCGGGAAGCTCACTCACTGTTTTTGGGTCCCTCTTGCCATGTCTGGGGGCTGCCCCGCTGACCACTGTCCCAGAAGCAGGCTGCCTCCCCAGGCTCTCACCGAAATCCACTGAGTCTCCACCTGATGGGGTTGGGTCAGCACAGGCCAGGGGCCAAGCTCTAGCATTTTCTACCAGCTGGACATCAAGGCTGCCCCTGGGGACCCACTCCCACGTCAGCCTCCTAATTCCCACATCACCATGGGGCGATGCTGGCTGAGGCAGAAGAGCAGAAGCGTGACAGAGTCAGGACCTTCAGGTCCTCCCGTTTGAAACAGGCGACACCCTATTCACCCCCTGGCTGTTCTGAAGCCCAGTGAGTGACTGCTGTGCTCCCCTGCTGATTTCAGGCTGTAAGCGCTTTCCCTGTATCTTGATCCTACCCCCGTCATGAGCACACACGCATGTTGCCCCTTCGAGGTTCTCAGCCTTGTGCTGCCATGACTGCCTTTCCTCCAGTAAAACAAGAAAGAAGACGGGAGCCAGGTGAGCCCTGCCTCCTCCCACACTGGTGCTCACTAGCGGCCTGTCCCTTGTCTGGCTCGCAAGTCTGTTGCCTGCTAAGCCTGGGGTCCCAAGAAAGAGAACTCACAGGTCACAGGGGCCTTCTCCTCCTCCACTTCCTTGTTGTCTTCCTCCTCCTGCCTGGGCAACGTCCTGAATTCAGACAGGTCTGTTTGCAGCAGCTGGGAAACTGCTTCCTGGGCCAGAGATGAAGCAAGTGGTGGCGGAGCATTCCTGGGATGGGAGAAGTAAGTGAATGGGGGCAGCTCCTTGGCAGAAGCCAGCACTCCAGCGCCGGCCTGAGCCCTCCAGGAGGAGACCTCAGGCCCCCTCCACCCAAGGAGACCCCCCTGGAGGTGGCAAAGATTCCTTTGTGGGGCCGTAATGAGGTCAGCCTCTGGTCCTTGGGGAGCTGATGTCCACAGGGCACCATTTGCTGGGGCCTGTGCTATACCAGATGTAGGTTGAGGCTGGTGGGGACAGGGTATCATACACTTGTCAGCTGTGTCCACTGGCCTTCAAGGCCAGGCCAAACTGTCCAATGTTCAGCCTGATGACAGGTGCCTGGTCACCAAACCAGCTGGGGACCTCTGGGTATGGGGAAGCTTATGGGTTGAATTGTGCCCCTGAAATTCCTATGTTGAAGTTCTAATTCCCAATGCCTCCAAATGTGACCTGGTTTGGAAATAGGCTGGTTGCAGGTACAATTAGTTAAGATGAGGTCACCACAGAATCAAGTGGGTCCCTAATCCAATAACGCTGGTTCCTTTTCAAAAGGGGCAATTCAGACATGGACACACACATGGAGAACACCGTGAGAATGAAGGCAGCGACCAGAGTGATGAACTTACAGGCCAAGGTGGCCAGCAACCACCAGAAGGAACCAGGCCTGTTGACACCTTGATCTCAACTTCCAGCCTCCAGAAATCTGAGACAATCCATTTCTATTTAAGGCATCCAGCCTGTTTCTTCATTATGGCCACCCCAGGAAACAAATCCTGGGCTGCGCCTGGAAGACTGGGCAGTGCATGGCCCAGGGGGTCCGTGGTCCACCACACCAGCTGGTACAAGGGGATGCTGGGGGAAGGGGTGCAGGTTTCAGGGCACTGGGAAGCCGTGACCTTGGTGTGTTTTAAAGAGGGATGTGACATGATGGGATAGGCTTCTCCCTGGCTGCTCCATTCAGGGTGGATTGAAGTGTGAATGCTGTGAGGCCAAGGCCCTAGCTAGGCAAGGCCTGGCGCTGGGCAGGGGACCGGAGAGGTTCCATGTCTATAGTGAGTCTCAGAAGGCCGAGTGTCAAGAGGCCTGGGGCTGATGGGCACGTGGTCTGGAGACGGGGCCTCTATGGGGATGAGGGCTACCGCCGGAAGGAGCGCGCCTGGGCAGACAGCGGTTGGGGGGCTGGGAGCAGCTGGAGAGGTGGCCACCAGGGTCGTGGAGGAACAACTCTGGGAAGCAAGACTTGGTTGTTTCAAAGGTCAGAGCCAGGCTACCCAGAACAGGGCTGGGGGGCTGGCGTGGACAGGAACGGGAAAGCAAAAGGAGGTAGGAAATGGGAGCCTCGAGCGCAGGAGAAGAGGGACAACTGGCAGCTCCTAGGAAGTCATGGGGATGGAAAGACTGAGGCCAGTGGGGAAGGGCTCTCAAAAACTAGCAATAGGAGCGCTTTTCCATGGGCTCTCTGGCCTGCCCCTCCCCGCCCCCGCCTCGGGGCTGGCTCCCACAGTGGTCTTGGGAATCCCTCCCTGGCTCCCCCAGGCACAGAGGTTGTTACCCCTCATGCCCCTACAGTCTCGAGAATATATCCTGACCCCAAAATCTGTCTCCCCACCAGTGGGGGGGGGGTATGCTCACCCCCATGTGCCTCTCTGAGGGCTGGGAGACAAGGCCCAGGGCGGGTGCCCCATCGCTCTCTGCTGGGCTAGCACAAAGGGCTCCACCCTGACTGTAAGGACCTCCCAACAGCCGGAGGATGGCTCATGTCCCTTTGGGGCTAGGCATCTGTGGCGTCTACAGATGGCCTTAGGAATCTACTGGGATGAATGAGAGGGTGACTGAGGGGGAGAAGCCTCTGGAACTGCCTTTGAAAACCAGCCAGCCAAGACATGAGAAATGAGTTCCTCTGCCATTCGGGGATTTCCTGCCCACCACTGGGTTTTCCTTTTTCATAGCAGGAAGAAGCGGGGCCTGTTCTCTTTGCTCCTGGGGAGGCCAAGCTGTGCCTTCCTGCAGGCCCTCTGAAGTCCCATTACTGAGGCCACTGAGCTTCCGGCCACTGCGACCCAGACAATGCCTGGCTTTGGGCCCCAGGCTCCCTTCCTGGATGCTTCTCTGGCCTCATCCAGGGCCCCGCCCACCACACCCTCAGGCACTCTGGCCTCACTCAGGGCTCCCAGCGTGGCCAGAAGAGGCCGTGAACTGGACGGGCTGTGTGCGAAGGCCCAGGGACCTGTTCAATGCCCTAGTCCTGCACACCTCGGGGATTTTCAAGGAATTCCCAGTTTGGCAGCAGAGATGAAAACACACATAAATAACGCAGTGTAAGGTAGGCACTGCTTGGGAACCTGAGATGTGACAGGGAACTGCAAACAAGGGGAAAGACAGGATGTAAATAACCACACCCTTGAACTCAGCAATCTGACTTCCAGACCGTTTTGTAAAAGATATCACCTACAATCTGAAAAAACTCCATGGACCAATATGCATGGGGCCCCTTCGGCCTCAAAGCCCGTGTGTTCCAGCTCCAGGACGGAGCCTGGTGGGAACGTGTGTGGGGTGCTCTGGACAGTCACATGCAGTGTAGACAACGTGTGAACATGTGTCTACATACAAAAGAAAAACTAGAAAAGGGCACAAATAACTGAAAATAAACCCATGGAGATGGCTGGAAAATATGACTTTAAAATATTACTGTTTAAGGAAATTTAAGGTGGAGTCACAGAGGCATGCACCACCCCCTCCAAGGGGCCGTGACCCTTGTCTCTTCTGACTATAGGGATAGTGTCCTGCCTGCGCTGTCATCCTGCTAATTAACAGGGTGCTCATTTAACACCTGAGCCCAGGGCCTGCTGCCACCTCCCTCCCTCTCAGCCTTGCCTGTTGCCAGGGCCTCGAGAAGCCCCGCTCAACCTCAAACAAGTCCTGCCTTTCCCCACATTGAACTTGAGACACCCGCGTTCCACCATAACTAACACTTGACCCCACAGGCCCTGCACCCCACAGACTCTGCGGACCGACTCCCCACTTCTCTAGCTCAGGCCCCTCTCTGGGCAGGAGAGTGGTCACTTGCTCCTGCTCCGCTACCCTCCTCTTCCTCGCCCCCTGCCATTTCCACTGCAGTGAAGCAAAACCAGCCTCACCGTCCTTGATCCTCCCCCTCCCGGCACGTCCCTTCTCTGAGCCCTCTCCTTCCCTGACCCGGGAACTGGCTCTCAAGTTGGTGCCCCTCCTCGGCCCCAAGCTGTGGCAAATTCCTCTTCTAAGGCTGTCCCCCAGGCTGGCTCCCCACCTTGGTTCCCAGCTTGGTTCTCTCTGCCCCCGCGGACACGTCAATCCCAGCTCCGCAGGGTGCTGGGTCCTCTCGCTCTCCTCAAGCCCTCGTCAGCACAGACGCCGATCCTCCTGGGCTCGCCTTTCCTGCCATGACCCCTGAACCCCAACGAATGCACTGTGGCTGCTGGGAGGATGACCTTTGCGGCCCTGGGGCCCTGGATTCCCCTCTCCCGAGTGCGGCTGCTGCGCCTGGCCAGCCCGCGGTCCCCCCATCGTTCGTGCTCCTGGCCCTGAGCTGCGGGAGGCAGATCTCTGGGAGCCCTCTCTTGCCCTGCCCTCCCATCTCCCACACCGCCAACACCCATCCGGCATCTCCAAAGTGGCGCCATCAGGTCCCAGGCCCACTCCGCTCCACCTGCCTCTGGAATATTTCCTCAAAGCCAGACAAGCTGGCCACCCCCTTACACATGCCTTTCCCTGAGGGACATGGTTGCTGGGCATTTTCTCCTGAGCTCCGTGGGACCGTGGGGGATGCTGGGATGGATGTGGCTCTGAAGCAGGCCTGCACCCAGGAGCCTTTGTATGCAGCGACCCAAACTCCCACACTGCAGCTGCACAGGCAAAAAGAGTGGGTAGCTCTGCTAGGGGGGTGGGGGGCTGGAGCTGACCTGCGGCACACGGAGGCCAGGGCCTCGTCCTGGTTTTAGGGGAGATGCAGTGACTAGGGATGATGGGTGTGGTCCCCCAGGGGAGGATGAGGTTCACAAGAATGCCACATGGCCTGCCAGCCCACTCGCCATGAGCATCCCCTTATCCTTCTCGAAATTTGCTATGCTCCTCATATCCCCTTCTGTGTCGCAGCTTCCTCATCCCTGTAGGGTAGCGAGGCCTGCATGATGGGCGTGTGGCCAGGCCCTGCCCTGCCCTAAAGTGGAGGCCCTGGCCAGTCTCCTAACCCATCTGGCCTCTGTCTCCCCATCTGTGAAATGGGACAGATATAGGATCTACTCCTTAGCACCTGTCATGAATTGTGTCCCACAAAATGATATGCTGAAGTCCTAACCTGAGTGGTTCACAATGGGACCTCATTCCAAATTAGGGTCTTTGCAGGTCATAGTGGAGCAGGGTGGGCCCCATATCCAACAGGACCAGCATCTTTAAAAGCAGAGAAGACACATGGAAAGACAGAGAGAGACTCCCGTGAAGACAGGCACATGGGAAGAGGCCATGTGACAACGAAAGCCAGACTGGAGTGCTGCGTCTCCTGGCTAAGGCACACCAAGGGCCACTGATGACACCAGAAGCTAAGAAAAAGTCTGGAACAGATTCTTCTCGACAGCCTCTGTTTGAGAACACGGCCCTGCTGACACCATGATCTCCGACTTCCGGCCTCCAGAGCTGAGACAATTCGTTTCTGTTACTCTAAGCCACCCTGCCTGTGGTGCTGTGTTATGGCCGCCCTGGGAAACCAACGCAGCGCTGTCACAGGGATGCATGTAGTGAACCTAAACTGCACAGGGCAGGGTGTGTGGGGTAAATGCCAGGTTCAAGGTCGGACACATGCCATGCCTCTTCCTCCCATCTTGCGCTGTCCCCTCCTGGAGGGTACAAGGCCTACCTGCTGCTCAGGAAGCCCACCGCCAGATCGGCTAGCTCGCCCTCCACCTCCTCCTGGCTCAGTGTTGTTCCTGGGACCTTCCACGGCAAAGGGCTCTCTGGGCTGAGCGGGGCTGGGAAGTCGCGGAGGAACTCGTCCAGGAAGCTGGGGGTCTCCTCTGCCATCTGGCTGCTCTGCTCCGGGGCTCCAGAGGCCATGCCCAGAGCATCCCGAAGGGGCCTGCAGCCAGGGTTCCAGTCAGGCTTCACACTAGGAGGAGACATGAGGTTCAGCAAAAATAGGGGGAGCATTCGGCACCCTGCTGCGGGGTCTCAGGCCCTGGCGTACTGACTGCCTGGTGCCTAGCTATCTCCTGCACTTCCCAGCATGCAGGGCAGGGGCCGCACCAGGCCGGGGCCTGGGCGGAAGGGCAGGGCCACCCGGATTCATACATAGTTCCGGGGGCCCACAGTTCAAGTGGGAGTGACACCCCTGGCTGGTCTGATCTGCGAGAGGATGAGGGGGAAGCTAAGAGAAGCGGCTTCAGGAGATGGGGCCAGAAGTAGCATCTACATAGATGTCCTGAAGAAGGCAGGCGTGCTCCTGGTAGAGACAGCCAGTGTGGCCAGTGGTGAGCAGGAGAGGGACACTAGGATCTGGCCACTGAGGCAGGTGAGGAAGTGATGGCACCTAGGACCCAGGGCATCCAAGAGGTGAGGAAGTGATGGCACCAGGTCTGTGAGCCTAGAAGTGGTACCCTGAGGGGAGAAGGGTCACCTGTAAAAGGAAGAAAACGGCCTGGACAGAATGGTGGTAGGGCCCACGTGCAGGAGCAGACTGGCCCTGGGGAATTTCAGAGGTGGACCAGGGAGGGAGCAGGAAGGGCTCCCCAGAGGCTGCGGGGCACCCCGGGGTAAGGGCAGTAGGAAGCAGAGGGTTAACTCAGGACAGTCGGGGAAATTTCAAATGTGGTCAAGGCTAATATGTCCTCTCCAACAGGACAAGTTCAGGCCTCCTAAGGCCCGGCTGGAGGAGAGGCACTGGGTATGGCACAGGCCACTGACCCCACCGTCTCAGACACAGCTCCAGCCTTGTGGCTCTTCCTTCCAGCAACCTTAGGAAGACGGAGGGCTTACTAGCTGCACCGCTGGGAGCCAGCATGAGCCCTCATTTCACAGATGGGGACACGGAGGCTTGGAGAGGGGCAGCCCTCTTCCTGAGACTGGGTGACAGGGTCATAGAGGGATTAGGGAGCCCAAGTTTGTCGCTCCCCTTCCCCCAACCTACTTCCCTCCCATCTGGAAGAAGGTGTCACTCACCCCTATGCTCCACCCCAAGGGGGGGCTCCAGCTCCTCTCCCCCACCTCACACCTGTCCCCCCTCTCCTGGGCCTGCCAGTCTCACTCTGTACGCCCGTCAGACACCCAGACAGCCCCACGGGCCGCTGGGCTCCTGCCTCCCACTCACAGCCCTGCCGATCCAAACAGCCCCCGACGTCTTCCATTTGCTGCCCCTTGGGCATAGCCTCTGCCCCCAACCCGTCCTCAGTCCCACTCAGGGGCTGCAGCCGGTCCTCTCCGGGCCCCACTCCCCCGCCCACAATCTCTCCCTTCTTCCGGAGACAGGAATCAAAAGTCAATTTTTAAAAGTAGACATACAAAAATAATATAGAAACCAGGCCACTAGTAATAGGAGGACATGAAGACAGACTTAAGTTTAATTGTTATGCTTCAATTTGCTCACCAGTAGAAGTGAACACAATGCAGCCCCAGGTTATGACAGCAAACAGGTGGAAAAAGGTCAAGAATGCAAGCTAAAGAAGGGAGACGGCTCACTGCAGTGTAACCACCAGGGTAAGACTGAGAGGTGGGGAGATCAGGAACGGCTGGGAGCCCCATGCGGTGGTGAGGGTCAGCTGTGGAGCAGGACTGCCAGGCCACACCACTGTCCACAAACACAACACCCAAGCCAATGAAAACAAGAGGACAACAGGAATTTCCCAGAAGGCTTAGACACCCTTGGGCAGAGATAGGGGCCTCCTCTGTATTCAAACCCAAACTGCCCTGGTCCCAGAGGAGAGAAATGTAAGTAATGCAGAGCTGCCTCGGGCAACAGGGGGCGCCCCAGTTGGGCTGGGAAACGCTGAGCCCACCAACAAATGCTCCAGAGGCATTGAAACCTCAGGATCCACATGAAATGGCAGCATGCTCACTGACCTCCCCACAATGCACGGGAAGGACCCAGTTTGAGAATCATGGTCCACAGTATAAAACACAGAGTTCAAGGCCCTTCACCTTTGACCTGCTGGTGGTGGCTCCGCTGGATATTTTGTAATGTAGGAGCCTCCAAGCCTTGGGATAGTTTTCTGTGTCTGGGTTCCCCTCCACCCGAAGTGGGCCAGCTTCCCTGGGGGTTGGGGGCCCCTCCTCTCTGCACTGCAGCACTGGTCTCTGCTATGTCCCCGCTCGCCACACAGGGGGCTGAAGTCATGTGCCCTGTGTCCACTGCCCCAAGTCCAGGGTCCGGCATGGGCCTGAACGGCAGTCGGAGTGGGACACGTGTGCCGCAGGGAGGTCTGAGGGTCAAGGCAGCACAGGAGTGAAAAGTGCTCATGCGCAAGCTTGGCCTGCAGCCTGGGGAGCAAGCTGGCTTATTCTCAAGCTGCTCAACCTGCACCCGCCGCTCTCCTTCACTAGACAGGTGGGTGGCCCAGAGCCACCCTGCCCGCTGAGGACCAGCCAGGCTTGTTTCTGCATCACCTAGAGGCGGCGAGTTGCATGGAGAGGAACCAGGACACTGCTTCCGTTCCCTGGGGCCCCGCTGCTTCATGACTTACGATTAATTTCCTTCCCTGCCCTTCCTTTTTGCAGCACACTCCCGACTCTGTGATGGAGTCATACGGATATGAGCAAAACAATCCCTGCCCTTGGGAGCCCAGGGCCTAGAGATAAAGGCCTGAGGACGGCAGGAGAGGAATTTCCCAACGGGAGACCCAGCAGTGGCCCTGAGCTATCACAGGACCAACTGAAAAGAGAGACTCAGTGGCCAGGAGGCAGGCAACGGGAACAGGCAGTGTGGGATGAGGTGGTGCTGAGCCTGAGGCAGAGATGTCCCAACTGGGGATGGTGGGGAGGGGCTCAGGAGGGACTTGTGCATGAGTCTGTGCCAGTCACCGAACACCAGGGGCGAGTATGGAAGGGACACTGAGCCCCCAGGTCCAATGCCACCTGCCTTGACCAGTCCTGCTACACCTGGCTCCTGGAATGAAGCCCCTCCACACCGTTCATCAGCGGGCACCCAGGGTGGCCCCCATGCCAGTGCTGCCAACTAACATCTGCCAGGGGCCCACAGGTGCCGTCACTGCTTTGAGCCCTCTTCCGGGACCACCTCTTTTCACCTCCCAACAGCCCACTATTATTTCTACTTTACAGGTGGGGGCTACAGCATGAGGGCCAAGTAACTCGCCCGGTGTCCCTGGGTGGGGTTTATGACTGGCTCCCAGCTGTGCCAGAAACCACACCTACCCCGCACCAGCCACCAACCCCAATTCAGTCTCCCACAGCGCTGGTTTTCATTTCTGTGCCCCCTGCCCTGGCACAGCCCCCCACCTCCGTGTTTTGGTGCCTTACTGGTGGGTGCCATTCCATTCTGCCCAGAGGCCTCTCTAGCCAAGCTCTGCTGAAACCGGAACACCTTTGGAGTCCAGCCCTCTGTCTTCTGTGTCTCCACAGCACTTTTGCTGGCATCTGACTTGTAAAAAGTCCCTTTTTTCTCCATTTAAAATATTTCCCTCTACTTTACTAGTTTTGACTCATAAGCTCAACTAATGCTCATTCGTAAAACTGCATATTTCTAGGTCTGGACAGAATACTTGCTGAGTCCTGCCTAACTTTAGAGATCCCCGTGCAGAAAAAAAGAGCAATCTTTAGGAAAGCAAACGACATCACTGTTACACAAGTATTGTATTCATTGTTACAAAATTTTTCTGCAAATGGAGAACCTTATTTCTTCTGAATAACAACTGGAAGAGTTTGTAACTGCTTCCAGATTTTATATATATATATAGTAAAATATACACAACATACAATTTATCATTCTACCCATTTTTAAGTGCAGTTTTGGGGCATTAAGCACAGTTACACTGTTGTGCAACCACCACTTTTTACAGGCTTGACTTTCTCACTAGACTATAAGCTTTCTGAGGTCAGGGAGCCCGCCCATCCTCTCCAGTGTTAACAAGGCCTTTGTGCATGGCAGCAGGCCCGCATGATGGCAGAGGGAAGGTGCCAGTTCCCTTCCACCACCAGTGGGTGGGGTGGGCTGAGATGTGCAGCCTGAGGTTTGGAACCTTCAAGGAGGAAGCTAAGACACTCTGCGGAACATGGTGGGCAGCCGACAAAGGTTTTAAAGCCAGGGCTGGCTTCAGGAGCTACCTTAAAGGAATTCTGCAGATGAACTTGTGGGGAGGTTTACAACTCTCAAAGCGCCATTCTTTTTGTGTACCTCTTACAACGATGCAGAAAGTACATGCTGTTAGGTCACATTGCAGATTAAGAAATAGGCTCAGGGACAGTGAGCAACCCACCTAAGGCCACTAAGCTGGACTCAAATGAGATCTTCAAACGTCCTTATCAGGTCCACCTCGGCGGCAGTAGGAAAAGAGTGAGATCTGACAACAGGAGGCCTATGAGCAGGAAGGCCAGAAGTGAGCGGAGATGACCTCAGAGTGCTGGCCCTCACAGCCCATCTCCCAAGGGGGGGCACAGCTCCACCCACAGCGCTTGAATGCCATTAGGCCATGTGTTAGTCAGGGCATGGGCCTGGCTGGGTGGAACTCTGGAGGGGAGGGGGTCCATCGCCACCCACTCTGTCAAATCCTGCATTAAAATCCTCACAATCAGGTACCATTTCTGCCTATCGCATAGAAAGAGGTTCAAGGGCTTGCGTGAGGTCACACAATTGCAGTGGTGGAGCCCATGGTCTCCCTGCCTGAGGTTCTATCTCACACTCGTCCCGCTAAAGTTGCAGCAGCCCAAACACTGGCTTTAACTAAAACGCCTTAAATAACACTTGGGGGAGGGCCACGGGTGGCAGCAGGCCACGGGTGGGGGCACGTGGGCAGAGAAGCAGTCCTGCAAAGGTGCAAGGGCTGGTGGGGCGGGGGTCTGGGCAGTGGGACCCGCCTAGATACTCCTGGGGAGTGGGGTGGGGAGGGATCGAACTCCGGAAAATGGGGGTGCTTCACCCCTCAGCACCCCATTCTGCTTTGGCCCTCAGTCCACACCTAGCATTGGTTCGGCCACACCCCCGACAGGCCAACGGCCTGCCAGTTCTGCACCCCCTTGGCTCCTCAGCCCGCCCAATTGCCCGCCTAAGGTTCCTCAGCAGCTCCTCCCGCTCTTTAGCACCCCCCCGACTCGGTTCCCTAACCCTTCGAGTCTCTCCGTCTCGGCCTCCCTGCCTCCCCTGCCCCCCATCCTGCCCCCTCTGGATCCTCAGCGGCCCGTTTCACCCCTGCATGACTAGGGCCCCCACCTGATCCTCACCCCAGCGCCGTCAGCCCCGCAGTCCCGCGCCAAGGGTTTCCTCACCCCCAGGTCCCCGCGGGCCTCACGTGCCACTCTGCCGCTCCGCGAACAGCCAGCCGCTCCGCCGGCCCCCGCCCACTTCCCGTCCCCAGCCACCGCGGTCGTCGCGCAGGCGCAGTTGGGCCCCCGGGGCGGGGGGAATGGGGTGGGGTTGGGCCCCTGCTGCCCCCTGGCGGCCTTGCAACCCATGACTTCGGCCTTTTCATTTCAGGTGGAGAAGAGGCCCTCATCCTGGGTTCTGGCTGCTCACTGGTTGACTTGTTTCACTTTTTGGGCCTTGAGTGGGTAGGTAGATGGGGACAAGCAACCCCTACCTCACAGCGTCCAGAAATTAAGCAACTTGTGCAGCCGTTAAGTGGTAGAGCAGGGATGCACACCCAGACTGCCCTGGGCACACCATCCATCAGGGCAAAGAGGCCCTTTCTGCCATACTTTTAAGGACTATTATCAGTTTCCGACTGCTACTATGACAATTACCACAGACTTACACAAATTTATTAACAGTTTCGGAGGTCAGAAGTCTGAAAGGTCTCAATGGGCTAAGGTCAGGGTGTCAGCAGGTGCATTCCTTTCTGATGGTTCCAGTGGGAATCTGTTCCGTCACCTTTTCCAGCTTTTAAAGACTGGCCCACTCCTTGCTTGTGGTCCTTTCTATCTTCAAAGCCAGGAATGTAGAGACCGTCGTGATGACATGGGGCGACCCAAATAATCCGGGACAATCTCCCTATTTTAAAGTCAGATGATGAGCAATCTTAATTGCATCTGCAACCTTGATTCCCCTTTTGCCACACAGGGGCCAGAAGGATGTAGACATCTTTGGGGGCCATTCATCTGCCACCATAGAGGCTCACAAAGATGTTTTAACACCAAAAGAAAGAAATGAACTTTTAGGTCAAAGAAAATATTTTAATGTGTAATAATATATTCATATTTATATCAATACAGTTGTAAAGTATAATTTTAAAATATTTTATGGAGCAAGGGCCCTCAAAAGTTCTACAGTGGCCCTGCTTAACTGATCTTTTAGGTCCTCATACCGGCCTGTGTCCTTCCTTCCTAGGAATTAAGGTCTTTGGGATGCTTCACTCAGAGGAAGGTTTTGGTGAAGCCAGGAACCTGGAGAACTAGTAGTTGGCCAATTTGAAAGGAAACCATCTGGGATGGGGGTGGTCTGGAAGGAAGATGGTTTCTGGGCAGATAAAGCAGGGTGGAAGGGATGCAGGCTCATCCCATTCTTCTACTCTCGTCTCCCTAGTTCCTGTTGTTGGCAAGGCCTCAAACTACTTCTTATAAGTTGTTGCCCTGGATGTTCTCAAGCCTCAGTCTTCCTACCACAAAAATGGGGACAAGAACAACGAACCTATCTCACAGGATAGTTGTGAGAACCTGCACCAGTGTTCACAAGTGTATCCAGGACCACCTGCAACAGAATGACTGTGGGATGAAGGTTGAGAACCACAGTGCAGGTGAGGTGGCACGTGGAACAGGACCTCCAACACCATAATGTCGGGTGCCCATGAAAGCTGGTATATCTACAGGGCTCCTCAGCTGGGGCCCATATGTTTCAGAGCAGATTCCATTCAAGGTTGGCAGCTTCAAGATGAGGCAAAGCGAGGCACTGCCACTTGGCTAGGAGCTTGCCCCTTACTGGCGCTGGGCCAACGACATGCCTGTGAGCTTACTGGTGTCCTGTGGTTTCTGTCCACCCCTCCCTGTCTGCATTCCATTACACCTCAGCTCCTGGCGCTAGACTTTCACGCTTGTAAAAGGAATCTCTCAGTGTTACTCAGCCCCCCAGCCAGAGCCTCTCTGCTTCTCACAAAGCTGCGCCCCTGGCGCCCCTGGCTGGGTGGAGCAGCACCGGGGCTCTCAAAGAGCTCAGCCTGGGCTTTCCTCTTGTCTCTGCCCCCTCTGACCGAACTCTGTCCTGGTCCCCAAATATCTCCTGCTCTGGAACCCCACCCTGAGCACTCTGCCCTCCCCCCCATTTGCAGGTGGTTAAAACACCCCCTCCTCCAGCTCTTCCTGTCCCCATGCCATCACACATTGCCAGGGTCATTGTAGAGAGGGGATCCTATTGGTCCTGGGCTTTCAAACCATCAGAGCTGTGATCTTGGGAAGGAAGTGCAAACCCTCACCCCAGCATTCCAGGACATTTGCATTGCGGTGCCCACCTGGCTTCCTGTCTACTGCTGCCTTCTAATGGGAGTCCTGGGGTCTCCCTCAGCCACTGGTGTCTTCAGGTCTTCACGGGCCTGACCCATGGAGGTGGAAGGGGGGTGGGTTAATATCTGCAAGTGTGCGGTGCATTCTCCTGTCCAGCAGACCTGGAAGGGCTGCTACACTCACCTGAGCAAACACATCTGGGGTACTTGGTGTCAACACATGCCAGGGTCTGAAGGCGACAGGGATGGGGTTTATCAAGGACGACGGTCTGTGTCTAGCCAGTTCAACTGGCAGACAAGCCCTGTCACCACGAGCCATTTGCAAAGACAGGAGGCCTGGTCTGCAGGGCCTCTGCCCTGTGCCCTCCTCAGAGCAGGCCAGCCTGCAGCCACTGACCTCCTGCTTCACCTCCTCCCATATCCTCTGCTCTAATGCAGCCTTTCCCCAGCAGCCAGGGTGATCCTGTTAAAGCAAAAGTCAGATCATGTCCTTCCTCTGCTCCATACTCCCTAATGGCTCCCCATTTCATTCAGAGTAAAAGTCCAAGTCTTAGTAAAGGTCTCACACCGGTAGCCCCCCACCCCCCACCCTTTACCACGCAAACCTCATCTCTTCCTACTCTCCTCCCCGTTATTACTCCACTCCAGTTACACTGGTATTTCTCCAACCCACCAGGCACACTGTTGCCATGGACCTCTGTGCTTGTTCCTTCTGCCATACACATGGCTAACTGTTCACCTCCATCTTTGTACACATGTCTCTTTTTCAGGCTATTTCTAATCACCTTATTTAAGACTGAACACCTAAAAATACAGAAACAGACACCCACATACATTTGGGACCTTTTAACCTCCTTCCTTGCTTCATTTTTCTGCTTAGAACTTATCACCCTCTTATTTACTATAATTTTTTTTTACCCTGTTTATTGTCCGTCTCCACCATTGGAATACAAGCCCTCTGCAGACAGGGAATTTTGCCCGCTCATTGCTTTATGCCCAGCTTCTGACGGGCACATAGCAGATGCTCAAACAGTGTTTAATGAAAGAATGAATGGCGTTCCAAGATTCAACCCCTGCCCGCCTGTCCAGGCACATATCTTACACTCTCACCCTACATGCCAAGGCATATTTAACATCTGAGTCGCCCTCCCACATCCCCATGTCCTTCCTCTTTTTCTTCTGTAGCAATAGAATTCTGAGTTAGGCACATTGCCAAAGTCTGAAAACCACATTTCCCAATTTCCCCTGTAGCTGGGTGTGGCCGTGAGATTAAGTTATGACCAATGTGGTTCATTAGAATTTTATGCATGAATTTGCATGTTCTTCCCCTAGAACTTTGATTTATCTATTGGGTCCACATCTCCAGGAGCTATCTCCTTCCTGCTTTATACCCAGGACAGAGGATGGAGAAAATATTGTACATTTGGCAACATTTTTGTAAGAGTTTCTGTCCTTTGAGTAAGTTTAAGATGTACCTTTCTTCCCTGGTACCCCAGGCGTCACAAAAAGGAAGCTCCTAAGATCCAGGAGCCTAACTGAGCTCTGTCTTGCCTAAATACACAATGAATACTGATGATGACCAGGAAAGGGTCTCCCTAGTTTGCCTATCTTTACACAGGAGGTGTTTACAGCTCTGTGGACTTCTGAGTGCCTGTAGAAAACCAGCCGATATGGGGAAACATTAGTTTAACATTTCTAAGGGAGATCAGGAGGAAACCAGTGAATTTGACCCACTTCCAAGAGTGGATTCAGAGAAGGAAACCCTAGAATTTCAAGGAGGAAGTTGAACTGCTTGAACTACTGACCGTTCTCATTCTCCTCCACCCTAGATGTGCTTCTTTTTCTATCCAGCCTAGAAACTATGGTCAAGCCTATCAGTCAGTCTCTAGTCAATGTCTTCATTATTCCTACCCATTTGTTTGCACGGTCTATTCAACCCTGGATCACCAAGGACCCTCTCTGTTGCAAGTGACAGAGACCCAATTCGAATTTGTTTAAGCAAAAATAAGAAGAATGTAATAACCTGTGAGAGTCCATGGGTAGCTAACATCAGGTACAGCTGGATCCAGGAATCCAAACGATGCTATGAGCTCTATCAGTTAGTTTACAACAATAACAAACCATCCCCAAGCACCCATTTACTTGCTCCTGGTTCTGGGAACTGGCTGAGTAGTTTTCTGGTCTGGACTGGCTCACCTGAACCTGAAGGTCTACAGCATTTTCACCCACATGTCTGGCAATTGGCTCAATATCAGCTGGAAAACCAAATTCCTTAGTCATGTCTTTCTCATTATTCAACAGGCTGGCCTGAGCTTGTTCACATGGTTACCGAGTTCTAAAAGTAGCAAGAGAAAGGACAAGTCCCCATAGGTACACCCTTTTTAAACCTTCGCTTGCATCATGTTCTCTAATGCCTCCTTGGTCAAAATGAGTCGCGTGCCCTGCTTCAGGTGATGGGAAAATAGGCTCCACCTCTGGATGGAAGAACTGCAAGTCAGCATTGCAGAGGGGTGTGCATAGTGGGCTGGGAAAAATTTGAGAGCATTGTTTTAGATTTTCTTGGATAATCTCTCTTCATACGGCAGTGAAAATAGCCCTGCCCTCCACCAGGGTATGCTGGGCTGCCCCATAAGAAACACCTGTGAGCACCCATTAGCCGTTATGTACCTGGGTGAGCAGGGACGTTCAAGGGAGTTAACACCTCATGGAGCAACTCTTGACCAATGGAAAGACATGTGAACCAGTGAATGCACATTCCTCTCTTACACCTCTCAAGAGAGGCCCATTCTACGCTGCTCCTCAGAGAGTCTCCAGTGGGATGAAACCCAATTGCACACGGTAATGATCAATTTAATGATAATCCTTGGAATGGTGTTTCCTTCTTGTCAATC